GAAAGTAAACGGCTATCTCTCCGAACTGTCTCGCTTCTTCACTGCGAAGTGTCTAGCCCTCTCCCCTACGAAATCCTCTGCGACCTTGTTCACAACCTGGACGAAGGAGGTCAGGCTACCGCTAGGAATTCACGTCGATGACACACCAATTCCGACGGTGAATAATCCTAAAATACTCGGAGTAACATTCGACAGCCTGCTCTCCTTCTCTGCGCACGCAACCGCTATTGTCAATAAAGTACAGAGCCGCAACAAGGTCCTCAAGTCGCTAGCCGGCAGTACTTGGGGCAAAGACAAAGAAACGTTGCTGGCAACATACAAGGCAATAGGCCGGCCGGTTTTAAACTACGCAGCACCAGTGTGGTCGCCGGGGACTAGTTGGACGCAGAGGACGAAGCTACAGACGGTACAAAATACAGCACTTAGGACAGCGACCGGATGCCTCCTGATGTCACCAGAACACCACCTCCACGATGAGGCGAAAATGCTCCCAATTAGGGAGCACAGCACGATGCTCTGCAAGCAGTTTCTTGCTGGGAGCCACAGATGTGGCCACCCAAATAGACAGCTGCTTGCAGAGGAGCCCTCGCCGAGGCACGTCAGGAGGCATCTATATGAACTGACGGACGAAGTCCAGAGGTTCATTACGCATCCTCTGAACCCGTCAGCTCACAGACAGGCCCTGAACGGCATTCACAGGGACGCAGACTCGAGTTATGTAGACTCAAGACCTGTGAATGCCGTTCTAGGCACACAAACACCGGACATGACGCGACGGAGCTCCATCTGCCTTGGGAGACCAGGACAACAATAGCCCAACTTCGGTCTGGCTACTGCAGCATGCTAAATTCCTACCTGAGTAGGTTAAATGCGGATGTGCTGAACGAATGTCCGGCATGCGGAGAGACCCCTCACGACTCGAAACATCTCTTCGTATGCCCGGAAAACCCCACAATCCTAGCGGCGTCGTCCCTATGGACCGACGCCATAGAGGCTGCACGCTTCTTAGGGCTGCCGTTAGTGTAACTCGACGACAACGACTGAGATATCAGCCAATCTGGACGGGGTTGTTGTAGCCGCATCTGGTAAAACGAAGAGTGTAGTCTCTGCAGTGAAATATGCAGCACACAAAGCCACTCTGCAGCCAATTGCTACGCGAGCGATTATTGAGCGTTCCCAGACAGCAAGAGAGAGGAGACGTATTTTGAGGAGAAGGAAGAAGATGCGCTTAGCTGGCGATTGACCGGATTTTCGTAGTGCGTCAAATCCTAGACAAAGGCCCCTATTATGAGTTGCATTCGATTTTCGACTGTGGTCGAAAGTGCTGAGCGAACGAATTTTCATTTGGTATTATGGCGCTCATTCGATGAAGAATAGCGCTATTGTGAATTTCGCTCGTTTAGGTTGTTCACAATAGTATATTTTTCACCGCTGAGAAGCTTTGTTTACAAATCGAGCAAACTAAATAGTGTGCTTATACATATTTATGTAAATTTGTTCTAATTAAAATGAAGTAAAAAAGAAAGCAAGTTTATAAAAACGTGGTAAAATGAGTACAACGAGTTCTGGTTCAACGATTCGTCAGAGGATGAGAGCTTAGTAAACTGGCCAGGAGTAGCAAATGTTTAAGAGAGTTTAAGTTTATTAGTCTTTCGAATATATTTTGATATAAAATATATTTAAGAAATTTGTCTACAGATTCATTAAAAAGTTCCGACCATCTAAAGAGGCGTTTGTGAGCCAAATCTATTTAAAATATTTTAAAACTATCAACAGCGCTACGATTTTGTTCTCAGAGATCGTGCCAACAGAGTATTGGGATTTTCTTTCACAAGTAAAACCAGCCTTTCGAGCTTGTGTTTAGTATTCACGATGTTAGAACTGCATGAAATTAATAAAAATTGTTTAAAATTAGTGTCTAGCCGCCAAAATGTAAGAAAACATATACAAAATCATAAATTTTTCACAATTTTCTAACACTTCGCTACACCATCGAAAGCAAAATTCTGTTCGACAGAAAATTCGATACTCAACGAAAATTTCGACACGCTTGCATAGCTCATAATACGAGTTTCACTTTCGATCTTCGATAGCCAGCGAAGATCGAAAATCGAATGCAGCTCATAATAAGGGCCAAACAAATCGACATACAACCATTTCGTTTACTTCAAAACAGCAATGAGCAGAGAGAGCTTTCGCTGTTCACGCGCCTATACAAAATGTATAGGAAGCTTAAAAGAGCTTTGCCCGCGGGCAAGGCAGTGCTCAGCAGTGCTTCAAAGCCACTCCTAACAACACGAGAGGGATGGGAACTTAAGACACATGCACATGTATGTATGTACTTATTTAGAGTGACGTTGAGGCCTCTCCGCACCATTTTAAACAAGAAGAGATGGAACTTTTTCAATATAGATATTGGATAGAGCTGCCCATCCCGAAATTCAATTTTTAATTATCAAACCCGCCCATCCCGACGTTTTTCAGAATTGTATCGCGGATCCTATGGGTCCCGAAACCTATCATACCGTCCACCCCGGTCATTTTGAAATCAGTGCCATGTGTCCCGCGGGTCCCAATATCCCGTGCCCATCTCTAATCTGAATCACAGAAAAATTAGAGGAGGCCAAAGACCACGCGGTGAACGACGACGAAATTCCCAGCAACACGCAAATAGTCTGCGGGTATTTGAACACAGCGAAGAATAATATTCTTAAAGAATAACAGATGCTGCTGCAGGCTAGGTTAACAGTTGAAAAAAGCAGAGCGGTCTGTTGACACAAACTCACCCTCTCTATAAATCTCTCATCATGTCCATATATTATGAGAAAGCTTTTGGGGGCTATCTTGAGGAAGATCTATGAACGCTATTTACGTGTCCGACGAATTGTATAAGATTTATAATATCGTGGGACATAGTTAAGGGCAGCGATTCTGCTAACTCGAGAAGTTTCGAGCGTATGGATGAATCGGCTCCCTTGGATGAACAACGAAACAGGGAAGGAAGGAATCTGTCTACACCTGATGTAAGAAACTGGCGTGAACTTCGCAAAGGAGAGGAACATTCGTTTTGTTAGCTCCTCAAATTCATTGTTCTTTGGGTTAATATTTTATATCAATCAGTTCAGAAAATGTTTAACCATAACTAGTTGCCGAATAAAATGAGTAAATTCGATCGCAAAAATGCATGCACAGATGGCGTCTTGCAGGTTGAAATAAGTAGTCGAATGTACTTTTTATGAAACAAAATGTAGAACACCGTCAACAAGACTTTATTAAAAAGCTTGACATTTTTTCGAAAGTATTCAACTATATTATAGATATTGCGTAAAGTTTGAAACTTGGATTTATATGTTTTTTGTTAATTTCACTCCATATTATAAATACATACAGCATACATACATACCTTATGCGATAGACGAGCACTTCATCTTCATCGGTGGAGAAGAGATCGTCACGATCTTTTCGACGAAAACGTGACACCAGCGCATAGGAGGCTAGATACAACAACATTAATAGCAGCAGAAATATCTACGAATAGAAATAAAATAAATATGTATTTGAGTTGATACAACACAAACGTACGTATGTAGCATGTATACTTATGTATGTGTGTATAGATATATGATAAGTTAAAGTACGTACATATGTACATAAGTAAATACATAAAATGTATCCAAATTGATACATCTAAACCGATTCGTTTTTGTACATACATACACACACACAATAAACTCGTGTGTATAATTTTGAGCGACACTGCTTCTATGCCTCTGCATAAATTTGGACACATTTTCAAATAAGATATGAGCATTTCCACATAATTGTCAACAACCAAGACCGAGAACTAAAATGTTAATAAACAAACGATTTTTTTTAATAAAATTTTTGAAAGATATCTAAATTTATATAAAACATTGGTTTTGGGACATTCCATGTAAAAAGAGGAGAACGACATAAATTGAAATATGCCCTAATTATCTCTAATTCGGACTACTACTCTTTTTAAGTTACTACATTTCATTAATCTGGTGAAAAATATTAAAAAATAAATAAAAAGAAGTTGCAATTTTTGTCTATGGAAACTTTTATTTCATGCTTAATTACTTTACACCAGTCACAAGGAGAAGTCCCCCCACCAGTCACAACTTTAAATATTTGTTAATGTTTCTATGAAGATTATATAAACCTAATTTTTATTGAAAAAGAAAGCGTATAATTCATATTTTACAACACAAAAATATCGTTCGTGAAAATTAAGAGTATTGGCTAAAATTCATCCTTGAGTGTACAAGGGTAAAATAAATTTATTTTCAGTATCCCACCAGTCACATTCTTTAAAATTATAGTTACATAAAATTAAGAAACCGTTTGGTATTTTTTTTTATAAAGGTTTAAAGGTTCGTTTCAACCAATTTTCAATAGATAAATGTACCCACTATTTTCATGGTAATACCTAACATGTTTGTTTACAATGTGACAATATCAAATGTAAAGGTAACCCATCTCGTTTGACAGACACTTGAACCTTAACATTGCGCGTTGTTGCACTTTACACTGGACACTTAAACTTGCGCGTTATGTTTTTGTTTTTCGAACCGTTGAACCGAACCGAAACCCCGGTGCAAAGACCAAAAAACCCGCTTTGATGAACCAATACAAAAGTGCAAAAACGGTTCGAACCACTGAACCGAACCGACCAAATTTTTCATCCGGTTCACGTCCTTGATCTACATTAGAAACAGATCGAACTGATTGGCTTGATGCTATTTTGAAAGTGATATGTTGAGACAGCAAGTTGCCCACATTAGGAAAAGGAACAAAGTTAAAACAGAAATTTGACAGATGTTAAGACACATTTAGTAGAAAATAGAGACGTGGGATTAGCACAGTATATATACATACATCGTCGTTTAAGGTACAAAACCGCGTATCAACAAAATCCAAACCCGCGTATCAACAAAATGCATAACCGCGTATGTGACGTTGCATCAATTATTTTCTAGAGAGTGAAAACACTCATATTTCAAAATGATTCGCTTTTTTATAAAGCAATCGCATTTCTGGCTAGTATATTTCAGGACGAATGGATAAGGATTGAGCCAAGAGCATGTGTGACCAAATCCAATTTTTGGCAGCAAATGTCAGTTACGCGGTTTTGCAGAATGACGATACGCGGTTTTGTACTTTTAACGACGATATGTATATAAGTCACCATATTTCGCGGTGATTTTTGAGTCTTTATATGCAAAAATGCGTGGCATGCATTTGCTCTATACGAAGTTACTATGTTCGAAAATTTGTTTTGTATGGAAGAAAATAATAAACATCCACATATGCATTAATTCAATTTACTGGACTAAAACTCGTTGTGTTTATGTGTTCAAATGTTAACAAATAAATATTAAATGCTAACAAATATTCGTACATATATACAGTCGGCGTCAAGATATGCTTACCCCGCCAAACATATTCTGAGTGTTCAGAATAAATGAGTCCGAAAGGAGTCCTAGGTAGATAAGAAGTATGAGTTTCAAAAATAAAAAATGTTTTACTCTTATATGAATCTTTTAGGATTCATATATGATCCAAGTTATGAGCCAGCACCTTGCACCTATATAAAAACAATAAAGATTTGAAATTTATATCTAAACTTGTTTATACAGAGATTAAAAATAATTAGAAAACAAAAAATTTACAAAATTTAGCTGCAGCTGCTGATATTAAATGAATGTTGGAAGGTGTATATGCACGTAAATATGTATGTTATTTAAAAAAAAAAATTGCTGAATGCCTTTACAAATATAGTGCGTTCAATAAGACTCAAAGAACAACCTTAAATAAGAGCCGGAATGTAGTAATTTATGAGGCCGATAAGAGCCTCAAAAAGAGTCTGATATAATTCATATATGAGGCCAAAAATTGGTTTAAAAGAGTCCAAAATGAGCCGTATGTGAGGCCAATAAGAGCCCAATATGACTCATATTGAGGCTCATTTGATGTATGAATTTTAACACTCTCATATCGGACTTTTAAATGAGCTCATTATGCTCGTAAAGGCTCCGAAATAGGACTCCTTAAAGACTCATTTATGACTCCAAAAGTTTGCTGGGCCCTGATGTCTCATATTTTCGACGCTGACTGTATGTTAAAGAAAGAGTATATAAATATTTATTGTGTGATAAATTCAAATATTGTGATTTTTATTAGCTACATGCATGTTCAATGTCACCTTTTTTTGTTTCTAATTGTTTGTTTGTTGTATCTTCTTTTCATGGTTAATTTAAAATAATGATTGGCCCCTGAGGATGCTAAGCAGTTTTAGCGAAACGTAGAGCAAAACAGTGAAGAAAAAACGTTTGTTTTACTTGCACTAATCACCAATTAGGTCAAAGAAGCTCATCAAAATTAACATATCTGCATATTTGGAACTTTCTGCATACAAAGTTTGTTGTTGTAATTTTTTTTTATTTATCTACAGAGTTTGAAATGCGAATTTATATGGTGCTAACACCCAATTTCTCGAAAGCAATTTAAGTGAAAAATTATTTTAATTTTATATGTAAATTAACGGAAAATAAGAAATTATTTTCCGTTTAAATTACTGCTGAACCCGGCTGTAAGTGTATTTAACTGGAATTTAATAAAAAAAAAAACTTTTAAACAAACGAAAGAAAAATTGTCAAAACTGGTCAAAGTCTTTCCCAATTTTCTTCATATGAAAGTATAGACACATATGAAACATACCCTGCAGTGAAAACCCAAACCAGTTAGAAAAAATACTAGTTCGTAAACTAGTATGTGCCTACCAGGTCGACATTTTCGAAGAACTTAAGCGTTCAGCGACATCTGACAAATGAAATGAAATGAAATGAAATGAAATTGCCAAAGCCTAAAATAAAACGCAATTAATTGCTTTTCTTACAAATGTCGGCTGTGGCGTCACGTGAAGACTACTGGTTCTGGTTCTGGGATCGCAGGTTCGAGGCCGCTCGGAGGTGGTTAACATTTTTAAAGTTAGATCAAGTAAGTAGAAATAATTATTTCAATTTAAATATAAATAACAAACTTAAAAATCTAGTTGCATTACAAAAAAAAAGAAACAAATATATGGGAAAAAATACTTGTGCCATAAAAAAATAGATTAAAAAAAAATATTTTTTTTTTTTTTAAATTTTACCACTCGTAGGACATCGCAATGTTAAAAATACCAGTCGCTAACATTGAAAAAGGATAGAACGTGAACTAGTTGGGCTGAAACACAAACTGGTAGAATTCTAGTTCACTTTCTCTGCTTTCCCTGCAGGGATATATATCTCACGAGTTGTTTTTTTAGTGACACTCCCTTCTCCCGCCAGAAAAGAAACGATAAAGCATTCTTCTTACATTTATTTCAATCAATGGAGTTCCAGAAATAAGTTCAATAAAAAATAAACCAAGTATTTACACAGTTTTAGCCTTAAAATGGTTATCTACGCGAAAAAGTACCGAAATTACTAATTTTTTCATTGTCACTCGAAAAAACCAGATTTTTTTTTTTAATAACTTTGGGAAGATTTCAGATAGAGTGTTTAGATCAGAGGCAATGAAAGTTGGCACCAAATAAATCATATCTGTCAAGTTTCAAAAGTGTGCCACCAAATTAAACAAAAAATGGCAGCATGCAATTTTGTAATTTTTGAAACTTAACGATTTCTTTTTTTTTTAAATACTTCAAAATGTTAACTTTAAACGATGAAAATGTTCTTTTGCCAAAACGAACCAAATCTGGAGTAATAAAGCTAGTGTGCCAAAAACTCCAATCTAAGAATTATCGAAAAATACTAAAATCTGATTTGTATTCCAGTCGCATTGCAGGATTTTTTTTTGCGTGGTCTATTGTAACAGGCATTTTTATAAGGTGTTTCCACGACCAATTTGCTGTTAGTTTAAATCGTTTTGTATTAACGATTCATAAATTTATACTAAATACTTCTGTGCATTAAAAATTTTTGGTAGCAAAGAAAAAGTATTTTTTCGTATAAAGGCAGTATTTGAAAAAACAGCAGTATACATTTTGAAATCCAAAAAAAAAAGTATTATACTGCAAAAGAAAGTATAGAAACGAGCGCTAAGGATGGACTATGTATTCTTAATCGAACAAAAATCTGATAAGTTAAACACATAATTCAATTATACATACATACATACATACATCGATTCTAGCTGGCTGATTATACATATTGGGGTCCATAAATGTGTGATACGTGGACTTTAGATCACACTTTGTAAATTAAAATACATACATAGTACATGTTGACAGTAGAAGCTCACATTTAAGTTGCTTTGTATGTACAGTGGCGGTCAAAAGTGGATGAATGGTGTTTTGTTTTTAATATTTACAATGATTTTCAAGATAAAATTGGTTCATGCTTTAACCAAACTTTTAACCAAAATCATATAAATCAAAACTTTCAATACCTAATATAGAATTCAACAAGTTTTCATGTTGTTGTTGGTGTAACAGCATACAAATTCCCCAAAGAGATTTTGGGGAGTGTTGCTGGAGTGACAGTCCTCCCGACTGTCGTGGGAACGCATCAACATTCGTTTTTAGCTTTAGTTGGGCGTTCCAAGCACGACGATTACCTTTACACAAAAAAAAAAAAAAAAAAAAANCTGCAATAGAAAACCTTAAAAAAGAATTGACGAATAGCTTTTGAGATGTCAGATTGTGTCCAACTAAAATATTTCTTGGGTATGAAAATTGAAAACTTCAAAAATGGTTTGCAACTACCTCAATAAGCAAATACTGAAACTGTTTTGGAGAAATTCGAAATTTCGGAGGGCAACCCAGTGAAAATTCCAACGGAGAATAATATGCATTTTATTTTTAGAGAAGATCCTGGTTCTTTGGAAAAAGATATAGAGCTTTTGGGTAGTTGGAAATATGGGTAGGTTTCAACAAAACCCATCCGAGAAACACTGGCAAGCCCTAAAGAGAATCGTGCGGTATATAAAACGCTAAATTAGTTGGATACGCAGATGCTGATTTGAAAGGGGATATAATTGATAGAAAGTCAATTAGTGGTTAAGTCTTCAAAGTATTTGGTTGTAATGTATCATGGTCTTCGAAGAAACAAACAACAGTATCTACCTTTTTGAGTGAAGCAGTCTCAGAAGCTACTTGGATCAGAGGATTACTCAAGGACTTGTACCAAATTGGTAAAGTCTACGTCTAAAAAGCTTGATAAATAATTATAATCGGATAAAGTTTTGTTTATTGTTTATTGCACCAAAAGCCGTTCTGCTTAACCCAACTCTAAAAGCATCAAATCGACGCAAATTACGGCTAGGAACATAAAATTGGATTCTCTCAAGTAGGGACAGGCGCTCAATTTTTCCCGATAGGATTCCCAATAAGAATGAGGCAGCCTGAGAGGTTCTACTGTTGTGCAAAGTTGGTAGGCTAATTAGCCGACAACGGGAGATGTTAAGATGGCAATGGTTCAGCAAAATTTAATGAACGTAGAGCAAAGCGTATAAATACCTTTTGCACCTTTTCTAAAGAATTAGTATGAACTATATGACTTTGTCTCCAAATAAAGGCAGCATACTTATTCCAATTTGGAACGCACAAACGCGGTATAAAGCATCTTAATAGTATAAGGATCGGTGAACTCAGAAGTGTGAGTTTTGAGTCGAAATGAACACCAAGATCTTTCGTCTCACTTTTCGAGTCTAGGCAAGTATTTGAAATACAATAAGATGTTGGTTGGTAATTGTACTTTTGATTTAGAAAATGATACTTTATGGCATTTCTTGATGTTAAGGAAAAGCCGATTTTCAACACACCAAGTATAAAGCCTGTCAAGCTGCGATTAAAGAGCAGCCGAATTTTTGTACATCTAATTTCGGAATAAATTTTCAAGTCATCAGCAAACAAAAGACCCCTACCATTTGAAAGACAAGAACTGATGTCACCTTAGACCGCATCTCGTACGTGATATATTTACGATACTGCTTGGAATCCCGTCCATTACAACAGCATCGAGAATAGAATATATATAGCTTAGAAGGAAAAGTGTAACAGGTTAACTTATTTTAAGCATTAAATTTAACTTTACTTTAATTATATATTGCAATACATAATTCAAATGTATATAGGTCAAATGACTGTAATAAATAAATAAATAAATAAATAGATAATAAAAAGTATGAAGAATATTGGACCCAAGCTGCTTCCCTGTGGGACCCCTGAAAGAGAAATAACTGGCTTCGACTAAACACCATCAATAACCACCGTGCTAGTTCTCACGTGTAAGTAGGACCTGATCCACTCTAAGAAGCCCGAGTGGATTCCCATACATTCTAATTTGGTCACTAAAATATTATAGGAGATATCGTCGAAGGCTTTCGAAAAATCTGTGAACATATAAATCATATCAAGTTGAAAGCCGTTACAAAATCCTCTAGGCAACTTGAGCAACCCAAGTGCGAAATGCGGAAACCGATCCGAGTGGAGCCTTGCCTAACGGCAGAAAGAGAGAGAGCTTCGGTGGGGCCACTCCGACTTATCCGGTTTAAGGGCTCACTAAGTCTGCAGCTCTTGTTCACCAGTAGGTGTGGCTGCAAGCGGTCGTCTGAATTGGAGCAAGCGGCTCGCTAAACGTGTTTTCGGAAGCCATTGCACAGTGGTTCAAAATTGGTATTTTGTGTTCGCAATTGACTGAAGCCTTCATGTTACACTCAATTTGATCATCTTTTTTAATGAAAACTAATAAAGATTTCAAGAGACCAGCAGTGGAATTCCGACAATCGGTACGATAAATATCCATCGCTAAAATTCTCTAAGTTGAAAGCCGTGGTGCCTAAAAGTACGCAACAATGAAAAGTAACATAAGCAAAGTGTAATCAGCCAAATCTGGCAGTATGGGGGCATGTTATTAGATGTTGCATGTTGTTAGGCGCGCCTACTTTTGGAGATTTTTAGCGATCGAAATTAGCGAAAGCGAATATGTATTAAATTCTTTAGTGCAAAGTGCAGAAAACGTAGCAATTTTGAAGAAAATCAATTCTCCTGTTCCAGTTAATAAATGTTTCATAATAAAAGCTATGTCCTCGAAAATAAGTATATTATGAAATACATTTGGCCTTTTCTGAAATACATTTGAGCTTTTCTGAAATACATTTGCCCTTTTCTGAAACACATTTGATATTTTCTGAAATTCTGAGATATGTAGTTCGGAACTAGCGCTTTGTCAGACTGTCTCTAAAGGCTGGTTTCTCCAACTCAACTTAACTTAGTTAAGTCAATTTTCTTGACTTAGTCAAGAATAAGCTGTGCAAAACGTAGGCTATTTTTTGACTTAAGTCCAAAAAGTGGCTAAACTAAACTAAGTTGAGTTGGCCATAAGTTTTACTGCAGGGACTTATTCGCACGCACACAGTGACACCAATTACATCTATGGAAGATAAACTCGGCCCCTCAACAAACTTATTAATATGTACTCAGTATTTTCCCATCCTTAGACACGGATTTGGGAAGCAAAGGTTGCAAAGTTAATTGCAGCTTTTTGATATTACTAACTTTCGACTTAATTTTGGCTATAACTGCGGGCCTTGTTTCCCAGATCTGTTTTTAAGAATGGAAAAATACTAACCACAACTACGGGCCAAAGTTCGCATGTTCGATGTTTATTACTACGATTAAATTCCCAGAAATACTTGAAAAAAATTTTCCTAGTCTATTTAAATAATACTAATTTAAACAAATGTTGACCTGCTACATTTAGTTCAGTAAATTGTTATTTCCTGCTACTATGGTTAGAATGTTTTTCGATCAAACTGTTGGATTGGGAAGCTATCTATGAAATTAAAAATTGCTGAAAAACTTGTATTTGTCTGTAAATTCCGCCTTCAAGAAAAATTTCTATTTCCGGCTTGTTTAAATTCTCGCTTAACGACATATAAATGAAAATTTATAAGTTATAAGTTTTTAATTATCTAGTTGGGCTTTCAACGCCCAAAATTTTTTGTTAACTTTTGATCGGGTAAAAAAAGTTAATATCAGCTTTCGGATTCTTGTTATTGAGGACCAGACGCGGCCAGTGGTACCCCCTTTCCAAAATTTTGACCAATTTTGGAGGTTGAAAGCCCACCTAGATAATTACGGATTGTAACCCTCACTTCCTTCTCCTTTCTGTATTGCCATAAAAAGAAGCCGAAGTATTTCTGCGCAGAACATCTTTCTGAATAGGCGGCCTTCGGCCGAACTTAGGGATAATAACCCTCACAAAGTAGAATTCTCTTTCTGTGTTGCGAAGAAAAGAAACTGAACACCTTTCTGCGTAGGTTAATAACTTTTGATCGGAAAATTTCTTGCTTCTAGTATAAGCAGCCAACTGTTAAAAATTTTATAATAGCTCGTACATAAATAAATAAAACATTCCTTCAACTTACGAATACTTATGGGAAAAGGTATCTAAATTTACACTGAGGACAAAAGCGAAGTATCCCTCAAAATTTAAGGCGAAAATGTATCCAGTTGGATACATATGTATCAAAACGGCAACACTGCTGGCAAGTTCCTGGATACTGCTGGAGAATACGAAAACTTAACTCTTTCCTGCGGAAAGCAGTTTGGTACAACAAAAAAAAAAAAAAAAAACTTAACTAATAATATAACAATCCTTTACTAAAGTACTATAACGTAAACATATACCTATCGAAGATGTTTTTGCAAAACCGGCTATCTTACGGCATTCAAATTTTAAACGAAAGCGAAAAAACGGGTTTTCTTTGAAGGCATAGCCTTGATAGGCGGTATTTTCTTTAGCTATTATTTTACAAATCCGTTGTTTTTAACGATTTTACGATTTGTATGCATAAATCTCGATGCCTCGGGATTACCAAATCTCATTTTTGCCACCACGGCGATTTAGGCGGTTTAGCAACTGGTCGATAGGCGGTTTTGAAAAAATATCCGACGATATTTATATTTATGTACATTAACAAATTGCAAAGCTAGTATGTAGTATAATGAATTTGGAATGCTTACGATGTTTTCACGTAGATTGTTATGAAAAATCTGCAATTTAATATCAGTTACTTCCTCCTCTTCCTCGTCCATATCGCCACCAAAGAACTTTTTAAATTCCCCGTTTGCAGCGGCCAGGTTGATAAAAAAATGTTTCCGAAATTTTTACGCTTTGATATGAATTCAGAACACTTATGGGTGGTGGTATGCGAACCCTGCATTGGTTTTTACTATTAACAACTTCCGATTTTCACGGCATGCTTATCATTTTAGCCTGCACGGCGCGGCGGCGAGCAAATTGCGCTATCATTAGTTTCTAATCTATTCGAATTTAATGCTTGAGCCACAAAGGTCAGGCAGCCTTGGAAGAAGTGGACTGTGAACCGCCGCAATATAATTTCGGCACATCAGCACTGAAAATGTTTAGCACAAAAAAGGAAACGATACCAGATATAAAAGTTTATTTTTCACTTATGTGTGTTAACTCATAAAACGCAGTTCACTAGAAAATCAAAGATTTGTTTTTATTCCCGTTTTCACTCACAATTCCGAATGTTTTCAGTTTCCACTTCTTTGATTGCCACAAAAATCTCCCCTTTCGGTTCAATAGCGATTTTTACGGGTGGGGTTTAGTACCGCTCACAACTATTTCGGGCTATTCCGTCCAAATGGGTGGCCCGATCCAAAAAAAAATTTCACACACTTGTAGTCAAGGGTCCACGCAATATTTTAACACTCACTTTTGTAAATGTTGGTTACTAATTTATTTACAAATTGGGTTTGAAATATGCCCTTTTTTGTAAAATTCGGAAATTAGGGTNATTTTTACTTTTTGTAAAGCAAAGTTCTGGTTTTTGCATAGAATTATTTATGTGACTTCACAACAATGTTATATCTTTATACACATATACATTTTCATCCGCACCCACATATGAAGCTAATTTTCCAAACAAATAATTTTTCAGAAATTTCCACGTATAAAAAACGCAAACAAACTTCAAACGGACAACTCAGTAGAACTGGAAAAAAATTGATGACACTATCGATAGTATGTAAGTTTCCAATACCCCGACCAACGATGATTTTTCCGCAAATATCGATAGTTTTTCTCTAAAAGGCCCTACACACGGATCGATTTACGGCCAACCAGCTGGCCAACCGATAGAAGTTGTGGTAAATAAGCCGTGTGTAGGCAAGTTGGCAATCCTTCGTCAAGTTGTACGTCAAGTTATACGTCAAGTTGGAGAAAATCAAAAATTTTTAATTTTTGAGGCAGGTTGGTAAACTTGTTGCTCTGTGTGTAGGCAAGTTGGCAACTTAAAATGCGATTTCACTTTTTAAAGGCGCATTAACGTTAACATGTGTTTTTCGGTTCGTTTCGCTAGTGAAAATGCGTATAACTTATGAAAACTGGTTGGTGCGTTTGTAGGGCATTTCGTTAAGTAGGTTGGTCAACTGGTTGGCCGATAAAGCAATGCGTCTGTAGGGCCTTTAATATGCCTCGGTTATAATGGAAGTAACCGAACGGAGTGAACTGGCAAGGTCGGTGCACATAACTGCAAATCTTTTGTTCAGGATAAAAGATCTGCACCGTTCACCGATTTTCAAAAATGGGGTGTCAAATTAAAGCGCTGGGCCTGTAGATGTGCAAACTTGTTTTATTTTTTCGAACGGAGTTGCCACCCGTAGAACAAACGAATTCAAATCATTTAATTGGCAATGCCATAATAACTGCGCCGTTCGTTCGATTTTCTCAGATGCGGTGTCAAATTAAAAGGCTTGGACCTTAACACCTTTTAAAAAATTATATTCAAATTATCTAAAAAAAAAATATGTATTACGAAATGGGTAATGTGAAACGGGCGCTAAAAATAAAAAAAAGCTATAATAATGCAGCGTTTTTGCTGCATTTAAAATGCAACATTTAGCACTTTCGGATATATGTTATTGAAGAGCGTTCATGCTATGGCATTTAGCAAATATACATTTACGCGAGTTCGAAATCGTATGCTTTTGACAAACAGTCGTGTTCTAGTCACTTATTCAGATCCGTATCTATTACGATCAATTCTCACGGAAAAGATAATGTACAAAAACCCTACTGGTAAGAAAAAAAATAATTTTAGCCCAAAAATTCAATACAAAAACTTGAATTGTTTTAAGTATAACCGAAAATTTATTTGTGTATATGTTCATTTGTCGGTGCTGTTAATTGAAATTTCCTCACTTAATTAGGAAACAAAAGAAACATATTCTTTAATTTCCGTTAATTTAAATTCAGTTGAGTTTGACACTTTTCAAGATTTTGCCAGAAAAAATTTTTCTGACTAAATCTGACTACTTCCGACAGAAGAGGGTCACTCTCACTGAGTGTTTCTCTCTCATTTTTGCTGACAATTTCGAGTTAAGGAACGCTTTTTGGACTAAATCTGACTACCTCGGACTTTTTGTGACTATTTCTAGGAGATAAGGAACGCAACTAATATTGGCAAATGCTCGATATGCTACAACAAAATCGATAACAATTAAAAGTGTTGCCACATCAACATAAAAGCGCTAACTCCATAACCTACTTATAGCGTGTTTCGACCACAGTATTTACAGTAATGCAGCGTTTTTGCTGCATTTAAAATGCAACATTTAGCACTTTCGAACATATGTTTTCGAAGGGCGTTCATGCTATCGCATTTAGCAAATGTACATTTACGCGAGTTCGAAATCGTATGCTTTTGACAAACAGCCGTGTTCCAGTCGCTTATTCAGATCCGTATCCATTACGATAAATTCTCACGGAAAAGATAATGTGCAAAAACCCCTACTGAAAAGGAAAAATAAATTCTAAACCGAAAATTCAATACAAAAACCTGAATTGTTTTAACCATAACCGAACATTTGTTTGTGTATATATTCATTTGTCGGTGCTGCCAATTATATTTTCCACACCTAATTAGGAAACAAAACAAACAGAGTTGATCACAAATTAATCCAGATTTCTATCAGCATCATATCGATGTTGAATTTGCGTAACTTTTCTTTATCCAAATAATGTAAAATAATAAATGAAATCTCGATCGGCGATCACTGAAACGCAGCTAGCGGTTGTATACTCGAAAAAGCAATGTTGCCACTTTTTCTCATTAAACCATGTTCGAATCGTGGAAATTTTGGAAGATCACAGGGTTGCTTTTAGCATTTAGATTCTAAATGCAAAGATTGAGTTGCATTTAGTTGACGAATTTTGTATGGATAAATGTACATTTAGAGTAGCATTTAGAGCTAAATGCGCTAAATGTACATTTACGCGCAAGCAAAAACAGCCCATAACAAACCTTTTCGCAGTTTTTCACCAATTGGTCTCCGAGGAGTACTTTTGTGTTGTATGCAGCGTTTTGGTTTTGCGGGCACGGCAATACTTACTGTGGGGAATTTCGCCTCGTGATTAGAAAAAGTTCTTTTCGAGGATAAAATATATATAATTGTGTTATTTATGATCAAAATGTAGGTTGAATATCATATCAATGTTTAATTAAGAATAATGTCAATAGTAAAGTACATAATTATTGCCTGTGTTTCTTTAAACTGGAAACTGAAATCGTAATTATAGCACTGAATGGAGTTTTCTTAAATGTAANGAAACCTCACAATAGTGAGAGTGGTGAATTTTGTGAGGGCAACATAATAGGGCTGTTAGTTTTCGTTGTTTTCTTTGCTTTGTTTACTTTTCTTTCTTTTCCAATGAAACAAGATGGCGTAGAACTCGCTTCAAAAATCGACTTTTTTCAATCTCTTGTTTTTGCGTGCCCTTGTATCGTTCGTTAATGGATACGTGTCACGTTTGCGATCACACCTAAAAATTGTAATAGATTATGCAGTAGTGCCAATTTACAATGCCTTCTGAACGTAGCAACCCTGCATGTCATTAAAACGCCATTTTGTATTTCATATCCGTCATATTTTAATTGAGGGAAGTATTTTATCTTAAACTTTAAAAGAATAATGCCAGATACTGGAAAAAAATTGAGTGAACTGCGTGTTTATGATTTGAAAGAAGAGCTTGAAAAAAGAAAGTTAGAAACTTCTGGCGCTAAGGCAACTTTAGTGGAGCGGCTTGAACAGGTACTTATTAAATTATTACCTAACGCATGTAAAACATGCAGGCTGATGGAAATATTCAATACACATGCTATAGATATAAATATGAATTTGTATATGCGTGTATATATGTAACATCAATAATTATTTTAGGCGATCAAAAGTGAGGGCTTAGATCCTGCAAAATACCTTTTTATGCCTAATACCAAAGCCACCCCTAAGAAAGCAATGGACGCAAAAAAAGTTGGTGGAAAGCTCATTGAAGAAATTAAAATCAAAGAAGAACCTATTGACGAAGATGATCTACCTATTAAAACAGAAGATGGCGGAGAGGAAGAATACTATGACGAAAATGACCAATTCGAGGGCGATGACGACGATCAAGTCGACCAAGTAGGCGATGTGGATGATGAATGTGTAATTATCGAGGATGAAGTAGGTGATGGTAATAATGATGGCGCAGATGAAGAAGGGGATTATCATGATGGGCCTGAAGGTGAAGAGGAAAACGCGGGCGAGTCTAATGAAGAATCAATAAATTTAACTATTGGGGAAGAAGAGCAAAAGCTCCTACACGACGAGGTGAGTAAAATTAAACTAAAAAATTATATTAATTATGAAATGTCGAAAGGCGCTAAATATCAGATGAGGTTTTTGCTTTATAAATGTGTTTTGCAGAAAAATACTTGGGATGTCTTACCCCGAGTTAACATTTTCTGTGTCGGAATGGTTCCCCATGGGGTTGTGAAGGGTCGAGGGGTCAGGTATTACTTTTTACAAAGTTTTCCATACCCAACTCTTGATTCCTGATTTTAATGACGCCCTACCAAAGTGGAATTTTTAACATCTTCAAAAGCTTGTATTTCGAAAACTATTGACCCGATTTTAAAAATGAGAACACGGTATAGATAATTGAAATACTGATATATTGTATACTGATTTGTATATATTTATATATATTCTAGGAAACAAAAACAAAT